CTGCCTCTGCCTCCCAAGTAGCTGGGACCACAGGCGCCCGCCACAACGCCTGGCTATTTTTTGGTTGCAGCTGTTATTGTTGTTTTGGCAGGCCTGGGCTGGATTCGAACCCGCCACCTTGGGTGTACGTGGCTGGCGCCTTAGCCACTTGAGCCACAGGCACCGAGCCTGTAAAGACTCTTCAATTAAGATAACAGGCTGAAGGCGGAGCCTCTGGCTCAGTGGGTAGGGCACCGGCCCCATATACCGAGAGTGGCATGTTTAAACCTGGCCCTGGCTGAACTGGAACAAAAAAATAGCTGGGCATTGCCGTGGGCGCCTGTAGTTCCAGCTACTTAGGAGGCTGAGGCAAGAGAATCGCCTAAGCCCAGGAGTTGGAGGTTGCTGTGAGCCTTGACACCACGCAGCACTCTACCGAGGGTGATAAAGTGAGACTCTCTCTTTAAAAAAAAAAAAAAAATCACATGCTTAGCTTTGGGAGGACTTGAATTTGGGGTGGACACTGTTCAACCCATTGCAACTAGTAATGAAATCCAAATTAAAGCCACAGTGAGGTGTCCTGATGGTAATCAACAGGTATTGAATGATAAATACCAATGTAAAACTCACAGGGCTGGCCTAATTGTTCAAATGCTTTCTCTAAAAGATCAAAAGGTTCCTGTTCTTTGGCCCAGCAATTCCAGTTAAAGAAGTTTCTCATGAGCAATTGCACAATGGTAGTCTCTTATCTCATTGAATCCTCACTACAACCTTGATGGTTTTATTCTTCAACATACATTTGCTGGGTGTGTCTTCCAAGGGCCAGACTGTTCTAGACTTAATACAGCTGGGAACAAAACAGTGACATACACTATCCCTGTGGAACTCACATCCTTGTAGGTTCAGATTGAGCTGATGGAGTAAGTTCTGTAAAAACAAAATGGAATAAGAGGGTAATTAGTGGGCAGCTGAGACAGGGTGACCTGGAGATTCCAGGAGAAATGGGGCCGTGGGGTGTGAAGTGCGCAAAAGTGCCAAAGACTAGGGAGCCTTCAGAGAGCTCTGTGGGCAATGGTTGGATCTGTCTTTTTTTTTTTGCAGTTTTTGGCTGGGGCTGGGTTTGAACCCACCACCTCCAGCATATGGGGCTGGCGCCCTACTCTTTTGAGCTACAGGTGCTGCCCCGGATCTGTCTTTTATGCTGCTTGGTGCTTTTTCCCCCTTTTTTACTTTATATATATTTTTGTTTGTTTGTTTTTTGGGGACAGAATTTTACTTTGTCGCCCTGGGTAGAGTGCTGGGGTGTCATAGCTCACAGCAACCTCAAATTCCTGGGCTCAAGCAATTCACTTTCCTCAGCCTCCCAAGTAGCTGGGACTACAGGCGCCCACCACAATGCCTGGCTATTTTATTATTATTTTCATTTTTTAGTGCCTGGCTATTTTTCAGAGATGGGAGTCTCACTCTTGCACCAGCTGGTCTTGAACTCTTGAGCTAAAGCAATCCACCCACCTCAGCCTCCCAGAGTGCTAGAATTATAGGCGTGAGCCACCACACCCAGCCTTACTTAATATTTTTACTCGTGCAATTAAACCATGTTTTATTTTATGAGACAGAGTCTCACTTGTTGCCCTTGGTAGAGTGCTGTAGCGTCATACCTCACAGCAACCTCAAACTCCTGGGCTCAAGTGATTCTCTTGCCTTAGCCTCTCAAGTAGCTGGACTACAGGTGCTCACCACAATGCCTGGCTTTTGCTTTTTTTTTTTTTTTTTTGGCTTTAGTTGTCGTTTAGCAGGCCTGGACCAGGTGTGAACCCATCAGCCTTGGTGTATGTGGCTGGCGCCCTAACCACTGAGCTATGAGCGCCAAGCCACCTTGAACCATTTTTTTGTTTTTTTTTTGAGACAGAGTCACACTTTGTCACACTTAGTAGAGTGCTGTGACATCATAGCTCACAGCAACCTCAAACACTTGGGCTTAAGCGATTCTCTTGCCTCAGCCTCCCAAGTAGCTGAGACTATAGACATCCGCCACAACACCTGGTTATTTTTGTTGTTGTTGTTGTTCTTGCAATTGTCATTGTTGTTTTAGCTGGCCCAGGCAAGGTTTGAATCTGCCACCCTCCTGTATATGTGGCTGGCACCCTGCCAACTGAGTTACAGGTGCCCACCACAAGGCCTGGCTATTTTTTTTTTTTTTTTTTTTTTGAGACAGAGACTCAAGCTGTCCCCCTGGGTAGAGTGCTGTGACATCACAGCTCACAGCAACCTCCAACTCATGGGCTCAAGCGAGTCTCCTGCCTCAGCCTCCCAAGTAGCTGGGACCACAGGCGCCTGCCACAATGCCCGGCTATTTTTTGGTTGCAGCCATCATTGTTGTTTGGTGGGCCCGGGCTGGATTCGAACTCGCCAGCTCAGGTGTATGTGGCTGGCGCCTTAGCCGCTTGAGCCACAGGCGCTGAGCCTGGCTATTTTTGTTGTTGTTGCAATTGTCATTGTTGTTTTAGCTGGCCCAGGCAGGTCAAACCTCCCTCCTTTGTATGTAGCCGGTGCCCTGCTGACTGAGCTACCGGCATGGCCCTTGAACCATATTTTAAAGCAAGCAAATCTGGCCCTAAACCTGGAGCTGCTGGTTCCAAGCTCATCCCCACCACCCTCTTCACAAAGTCCACCCTGGGAGGAACTGGGACTGGGTAGCTTCAGCCTCAGCCTTGGTACTGTGCCCCCCGTGGAGGAAGAGTGTAGCTCAGAGTAAAGGTTTCCAGAGGGCAGGGCCTTTGTGGGGTGTGTTCATACTCCCAGCACCAAGGTAGTGCCCGAATGTAAGAGGCTCAGGTACAGTGGAGTCAGTCAGCGAACAGATGAATGACCAGATGACCCAAAAGAGAGTGCACACTTGGAAGGCTTTCTCTGGCTCCTGTTGATGGCACTGCAGGCCAGGGACTGGGTTCTACATCCTGACTTCTTTTGGAGGAAATGGCTTGGTGAAACAAAGCCTCTTCTTCCAGTAGACATGGACTCCAGTCAAGGGCATCCTGTGCTCATTCAGTGCCCCGTGTCCACCCCTGACTCCCAGGATCCCAACCTGACAGGACAGGGCAAAACAAGTCCTAACAGTCAGGGTTGGAGGGCTGTGGTAAGGAGGGCTGGTAAAGCCAGTTCTCAGGCCTAAAAGTCTCCGGAACACACTCCCTCCCCGCTCCCTCCCATCCTGCCTGCTCACCTTTAACCTCCACCCAGTTGTTATTTAACTTGTGGGGAGTTTGAGTCCCAAACTCTGGAAGCCTCCCTGGCTCAGAGTTCCCTGGGCTGATCCCAGGATGGGGGCAGGAACCTATCAGGTAAAACTAGTCCTGTCCACGTGGGGGAGGTCTTGGGACTCTCCCAGCTCACACTGCCCTCTCTGGCCCCTGGCCTGGCCAGATGGGAGGGCACCCCGCTGACAGGCAGTCCAGCTGAATCTGGGGGCAAAGCCGGCTTGGCAGAAGTGTTTAAAACTGTGCACGTGTACATCACTTTGTGCCCTGCCCAGGGAGGGATCGGGAAACTTGAGAGATGAAAGGTGCCAGGTCCTTGGCTACATTCTGGCCAGTGGCTGAGCAGTTGTGGTGGGAAGCAGCCATGGAGCAGCAGGGCCCACACGTGCGACCTTTCTCAGCTAAAACGGGCTCTTTCCAGGTAGGAGAACTTGGTGACCTGAGGCAGGTGGCCTCGTCTAAGCCTTAGTTTCTTCTGTGGAATGCGTATAAATATCCTTCAGGGACTCAAAGGTCATCAGCAATGACAATACCCCATACTTTGGAGGGACAAAGGAGGGATTTTATCATCCGAACCTTGTTCCAGATGTGAGAGGGCTTCAGGGACTCTGAGGCTGCCCTGCTCCACCCTCTGTATGATTTGGGGAAACTCTTAAAGAGGGGTCTTTACAGGGGCTGAGCCCTGTGCCCCAGGATGCAGGGCCTCTATTATCTGCATCTCTTAGCTCTGAAAGGTAAGGGGAGGAGGATGTCAGGACTTAGCAGTTTGGAGATATCTGCACTCAGCTCTAGTGTGGGAGCCGTGCTCTGTGCTCTGGGTCCAATGCCTTCTCGTTCAGCCTCTTAGCAGCAGTGAGTTGGGGACCACTGTGACCTTGCTTTATAGACAGGAAACGGAGTTCAGTGAGTGGAGATCAGCCAGCTAGGCAGCTGCAGAGCCAGCCCCTGGACCTTCTGCCTTGCTGGGGAGGGGGGCACAGAGGGGCGCTGCAGGTCCAGAGCCCTGAGCTAGGCCGCAGGGTCCAGGGAGATCTGGACTCACATCCTGATGGACACCAGGCAAGTGCCTTGGCCACCCCAGACCTCTCTTTCCTCCTCTGTGGGATGGGGACTACAGGGCAGTGCAAGGACACAGCTCCTCCAGCACCCCAGACCCCTGGAACAGACAGAACCTTCCCCTAGACAGCAGAGGAAAGTCCTCAGATGGCCAGGGTTAGGGAAGAGTGACCCCTTTGAGGTCATCTAGGCCCCTTCACATTAGAGACTAGAAGACCCCAGAGAGATGAGGTTACTTGCCCAGAGCCACCTGGCAGATCAATTTTCAAGCACGGCTTCAGTCTCCCCACACTGGGAGAGAGATAACTAGGGGACATCCCCAGGGGTTAGAGGGTGATGGCATTTCACAGGGCTCCTTGCCAGCTGTGGGGACTCTCTCCAAGCTAGCTCAAGGCCAGGGCCCCAATAACTAGATGATCTCAGTCATCATGTAGGGAACAGGCCAGGTGGGGACAGGGTCCAGGAGTGGCTTGGGGCCTGGCCTGGTGATTAAGCCACTTCTCCCAATAGGCCTCCGTTGCCTCCCCTGAGAAAGGGTTTCAGAACAGATTCTTCCTCACAGGGAAACATGAGGATTAATGAGACAAGAATCACGTAAAGCTCTTAGTATAATGCTGGTGTCTAGAAAGAATTCACGTTAACTAGCATGTAAGAAAAGCTGGCTTGGCGCCTATAGATCAGCAGTTATGGTTCTGGTCACATGCACTGAGGCTAGTGGGTTCCAACCTGGCCCAGGCCTGCTAAACAACAACGACAACTGCAACAAAAAATAGCTGGGCATTGTGGTGCCTGTAGTCCCTGCTACTGGGAG